GTAAAATATGGACAAACCCCAATGTTGGGTTAAAAATGCACTTTACAAAATGACAGTGGAAAGTGAAAGCTGGGTTAATATTTGAAATGACATTTTTAACCCAACATTTGGGTTTGTCCATATTATACCCAAATTTGGGTTAAAAGAACCCAGCATTGTTTAGAGTGTGTGATTTTATATGACTTTCAGATGCTTGTAATGTAAATCAGTGAGATCTTTACAGCAGTATGGGATATAAAATGCATATATATGTCTAATAGTAAGATGATATTTATTTTTATGATCAAATCTCTGTAGGTTTAAAACTTGTAATGCAATGCAAAGATGATTGAGACATGAACAAATACACCTTCCTCAAAATATTTGATTTTTATAATAAATGACGACGGATAATCACGTAAACCTCAGTTCAGCTGAAATATTACTCACAATATCAAAGTTATTCTTAAAGATTTCACAGAAACCCCAAACATCGGTCTTAGTGTTAAAAATCAAGGAAATACTGAAAAGTATTAATATTAACCTGAACAGAATAGTGATTTATTATAAGATTGTATGGGATGTTTGACTGTCCTCTAACCAACGAATGTTTTCTTTCACTATAGTTCCTCAGTTTGTTTCAAGCATTACACACACACACACACACACACACACACACACAGTACAGTACAGCACAGTTTTTGGTGTGCTAATTTATGAACGCTATGATGTGGTCCTCAGGTTTAATGTTTTTAATCTCACGGTTGGCTGGCCGCTGCCATCTCCGCACGCTGGCACAGTTCGCCCGCTGTTCTCCGAGCTCTGCCCGACGGCGAGTCCATTAACCTAAAGCATCGTCCATCCGCTCATTTACATCTCTGTGTTTGAGAAAGCTGGCTACCTCCTGCTTAATAACATTACGCTCTGGATACTCACTCGAGCGTATTTATGAGGTGCATTTCCAGCATGTTTAGATGTTATGGCATCTCACTTATTATGACAAACTCGCTTTAGTAAAAGCCCACATAAAATCAGGAGTGAACTTGAGTGGCTTTATATATTCATATTCATCTTGAGATCATCTTTAGCCTTGAGGACTTTAGCAGACACACACATTTCACAGGATTAGTGTGTGTTCCTAATAATCCTAGCTGACCCAGTTTTTATTACCAACAACTATTTTAAGAGTTTATCTTTAATTAACAATTTTACTGTTGAAACTATAAGAGTATTAGAACATTATTCTGTACTTTTCCACCAATATTGGGGGATTTCTCGACACCGGGTCATGGATCGACACTCATTTATCCTGCAATCCCATATTTCAAATCACGAATGATGATTCCAACAGCAAATGTTTTGGAAAGGTTTTAATCCCGAGCTTCACACACACTCGGACGCCAGAAGGAGCCGCGGCACTCGGAGGACTGGGGAAGTTTGTAAAGAATAAGAATAAGAAGTAAATGGGCTTTTAAACGCAAACAACAGCAGACGCTCAAACCCCGAGGCAGCTTCTGTACTTCAGGCTTACAACAATCTCATTATCTCTGGCTCACACACACACACACACACGTGCCAGAGGCATCAGACCAACACTTCTGTACAGCCGTATGGACGCGTCTGGAGACTCAATGAATATTTCATCTCATTTCCATCTCATTTACAGCAAATCATTATACAGAACACTTCTAATTAATTTATAAGACAGATTTGATTTTGATAACTTGTGAGCACATCTCCCCCCTCCACACACACACACACATTATATAACACACACCGTAAACGACTCTCGTCACTTCGTATCAAACGCCCGTTTAGCGAATGAGAGCATGAGGACCTGCTGTTTAATTAACTCTACACTCTTTAATTAACTCTACACTGTATAACCAACCCCCAAACTACGAGACAGAGATGACCCAATTAAAGTCTTCAATTCAAATATGCATTAAAAATATTTTCCACTTTCCAGGAATATGGAACAGAAGTCATTTCTTCCTTTGAAAGGACAGTAAAATTAATCTTAAAGGGTTAGTTCACCCCAAAATGAAAAATCTGTCAGTATTTACTCACCCTCATGTTGTTCATAACCTCTGTGTGTTTATTTGTTCTGTTGGACACAAAGGAAGATATTTGGAAGAATATTTAATCAAACAGATCTCATTCCCCATTGACTATCATCCTACTATGGTAGTCAATGGGGATTGAGATCTGTTTCATTTAAACATTCTTCCAAATATATTCCTTTGTGTTCAGCAGAACAAATAAACACACAGAGGTTATGAACAACATGAGGGTGAGTAAATACTGACAGATTTTTCATTTTGGGGTGAACTAACCCTTTAATCTTCAGATCTGAAATCAGTGTTAATCAAGCATTGCTAATAAAGTCATTTAATTAAATATGTCAATCGGTTTATTTTCTATAGTTTCAGTTTTCATTTTACTTTCACTTTAATTTGTAGTAATTTTGTGCTTTGTAATTTTTTTTCTTTAAAAAAAATCTAAATCTACACATCTATCTAAATAGCAAAATAAATAAACTACTTAGAATTTTAGTGTAGCCTACTTCTGTTATACATTTCTAATTGTCATTTAGTCTACGGTTTTTAATCCAATAATTATATTTTATTTTATTTAAACTTTATTTTATTTAATTCTTTACATAGTTTTAGTTGACAGCAAAAGCCTCAAAGTGGATTTTTGTTATTCAAAATTAAAGTATGTTTTTACATTTAAACTGCTTTTATTATTTTGATAAGTGAATTAAAGCTGATACATAAAATATTATCTTCAATTCATATACAGTATATCAGTGGGTCAGTATTTAAAAAAAAAAAAAAAAGAAAGAAATTAGTACTTTTATTCATCAAGGATGCATTAAACTGATCAAAAGTGACCGTAAAGACGCTTATAATGTTACAAAAGATTCTATTTCAAATAAATGCTGTTCTTTTGAGATTTTTATTAATTTATCTTTTTAATCTCGGCGAAAACTCGATGGCTCCTTCAACCGTCTCACCGAACTGAACAAAACCGAATGCGTTCCGTTCCGTCTTTTTCGGTTGGCGGAGATAACCGAAAATAGCCGAAACCCGTCGGCCGCGCTCTGAAATGGCGCCACGAGCTCGGGAGGAAATCGCAAATATCTCGACAGAAAATCAAACTATCGACGCTAAATTTTTATCGAGTGGAGAACGGACCAAGACCTTTCGAAAGAGACCACCCCCAGCCTCGTGGGCCCCCGGGGGCCCGAGATACAGGCCCCCAAAACTCATTATAATATGTAAAACTGTTGCACTAACAGCAGCGGGTGTTCACTTTCAAGTCTTTAGTGCGAGACACCCACGCCAATAAAAACCAAGTGTTTTCGAGCTGAGCTCAACACTAGGGTAGAAAATAGCCTATTAGGCCCTACTTGATGTCTTTAATGTAAAAAACCAAGCGAACGTCATAAGTTGACCCCTTTAATAAAACAAAAACACATAATTGTACTAGACGTGAAATTAATGTGGGAAAAATATAAACACTCTGAACCGTAAGTAGAACAAACTAAGAAAGAAAGAAGTGTTCGGTTGTTCTCTCGGAGTCATTTCTTTTAGCACAAATCATGTTTCTCAATCGCAACAGATGCACATAATAATGTTATTATCGCTCATGAAGTACAGCAGCGCTTCTCCGTCTACTCACGGTTCATCCTCCAGTCATGCAGACAGAGCCAGATCTCTCTGACAGGATGATGGGAATGTTGGGTCAAAGCGGGAGATCCTCCACTCAGAGTTTCCCGATTCCTGGCCTCATTCTGTCACACTCTCCTCAAAAGTAAGTGTCCCAATGCACAACACATGTACACATGCATTATAGATACGCGAGTCATCACTCAGGCTCTCGTGGTGTGAAGGAAACACACCAATTTAGACATGCACTTCTTCTATTGTTGAGATAACGCAGAGATGAGAAGAGTCACAGTCACGTGATCGACATCAACCACACCTGACTTCATTATTCGGGTCGTGCTGATATATATATATATATATATATATATATATATATATATATATATATATATATATATATATATATATATATATTTATTTATGGATTGGAATCGGGCCAATTACGCAGTTTTATCCACGAACACCTGATGTTTGAGTGAGGATTCATGACCGGTGTTCTGACAATTCATGCTACCCCCATCGAGATTTGCTACTTACCGGTTATGCGCATGTGCAGACTCACAGTTTTTTTTTTTTTTTTTTTTTTTTTTTTTTTTTACAAAAGGTACATTTTCCTCTTATAATGTATAATTTCCCTTTAAAAATGCTTACTACCATATGAATATTTGTACGGTCAGCCAGCTGAAAAAGAATAACTGAAAGTTTCAGTTACTATAAGAAAAGGTGTACTTTGACAAGTCAAAGATGAATATTTGATGATAATTTTGACTTTTCACACCGCTTTAAAAATAAAAACAGTAGTCTACAGTATACAGTAGCTACTCATAACTTAGAATTGTATTATAATTGTATTTCATACGACTTTAATCGGCATTCTGTGATCAATTCGCGCTACGGTAGCATTTTTCGACAAGGCAGCAAAAATCGACAGAACACCGGCTTCACCTCATTATATATATATATATATATATATATATATTTGTGCAGGAAAACACAGCACTTTATAATGGCTGACTGAGTCAAAAGACGGTTCTGTTCTGACCCGGAACGAGTCTCGGGTCACACACACACACACACAAACACACACAGCTTGTCTGCATACAGTAGGATATTAAAATTGAAAACCACTCAGAAGTTTGGGATCAGAAAGATTTTATTTTATTTTTGTGCGGTAGGACATTAATACGCTACTTTTATTCATTCAAGTAAGATTTTGTGTCAAATAAATGCTGAACTTTTAATTGATCAAAGAATCATAAGAAATAAAATGTATGATGGTTTCCACAAAAATATGAAATGTTTCACATTTGGTTCAAAATTAGTGTATTATAACACACACACACACACACACACACACACACACACACAATCTTGTATTTACAAAAACTAAAGTCAGACTGACGTCAGAGAGCGGATCCGTGACCTTTGACCTCCTGAAACTCCTCTGTGACCTTTGACCTCCTGAAACTCCTCTGTGACCTTTGACCTCCTGAAACTCCGCTGTGACCTTTGACCTCCCGAAAGTCGTCCGTGACCTTTGACCTCCTGGAGCTCCTCTCGTCGGAGCAGACGGCGAGCGACGCCTGTCATCGAGATTAGACGCGATTAGAACAGAGGAGTCGCGGCACACACTCTTCCGTCTCACTAAACATATGCAAATGCCGCGGCTGAGCAGATTAACGCGCGCATGCAGGATTTATGGAGATGCTGTGCACAAGGTCACTCTCATGGAAAGTCAAACTCAAACTTCTCTCTCTGTCAGGGAGAATAACATGAAGAGTCCAAAGTTCTCCTGCCGTCGCATCCCATTTCCTGACATACAACACACTTATCCATAATTCAGCTACAAACAGTGTGTGTGTGTGTGTGTGTGTGTGTGTGTGTTAACCCGCCTCAGTTAACCCTTGTGCTGCATTAGATTTTTAACACCGTTGAGTGCATTAAGGACCAAAAATGGCCACATATTAAACATTGCCTAAAATATTATATATTATTATTATTTTCCACTTTTACCAAGTTAAATCTTTTAACCAGCATCAGTCCTCATTGTAAGGAAGGACTTTCCTAAGACTGAATTTAGGAATTCGAAACTGCAGTAAAACAATAAAAACTTACTAATCTGTAAAAGAGATCAAAGGGACAGAGGGCACCACACAACTGGCCCAACCCGATATCTTCCCCCCATGTTATGGTTCTTGACTCTGCACAATATCTTCTCTCCTCCAGGGCTCATTCAGGCATTCAAATCTCACAAACCTCCTGCCCCCAGCTGTGTTATGCAAGGGCAAAATAAATACTTCTGGCGCGAGTGGTAAAATTGTTTAATTCCTGCAGCAGCAGAACAGGCAGAACAAGAAAACAACGCCTGTTCTTCTGTTGTGGGAGATGCCCCAACAAAGATTTGGGTGATAGGTGTTTATTGTTCTTTTGCTTGTGAATCTAAGGTTTTCCCTTTTCATGTTTGGTATCATTTTAAGTGTCTCAGTGCGATTGGTAAAATGGTCTTCATTTCATTACAGTTATTGGAAATAGGAGAAAGATTGAGAACTTAGGAGATTCCAGTTCTCCTCCAAGGGTGATGTCTTTTCAAGATATCTCCCCTCTCCCCCGAGACCAGGTGTTACCCCCTGGGGTATAGGAATGGACCCAAAACAAACTCTGAAAGCGATTGGTACAACCCTTTTGTTCTGGTCTGGGTATTTAAGGCTAGGTAACAGAGCAGTCTTCGGGAACCTGTAACCAGGAAAACCCCCATACAGTGCTGTGTCAGTGTTTTCCCGGTGGAAAGCACTCACACACTACTGTGTGTCTCTGTCAGGAATGCATTGCTTACTTTTAGAATCATCTTTGAGTAATTGATGTCATGTATTTACTATTTCTGAATTGGCTGTTAATTGCTTGGGTAATTGGCATGATACATTTTTCCTGACAAATAAATGTTACATCTTGATTTACTCTGGAGTATTCTGACGTCATTATTTTAGTAAATTATAGGAGGCTGGTGCTACCGCAAATCTTGCAGGATAGGTCAAACTAAAGGCGCAGATGTGAATGGAGCAGTAGGCACGTCCTTCTGAAGACCTTTTGATTTCTGTCTATCACTGATTTAGCAAGTTGTATGGAAGTTGCTAAAATAAACTACATTCTATGTACGTGTGAGCAGTAGGCAACCGACTTAAGAAGTATTAGTTAACCCTGCACCCTCTGACTAAATACAGAACTGACAAGGTTTGTGTCCGTGAGAAACACGATCTGGCCACCGTGATCTCTGTGCGGCATCGGGTCCATAATGAACGAATAATTGAAAGTGTAAGAAACACAGACATATCAAAGATCTAAATTAAATCCTAATCAATAGTTATGGTTATTTTCTAATAAGAAACACAATCTAAACTTGATCATCAGTAAAAATTGGAGTCAGATTAAGCGTAGAGCTAAAGCAATATTGAAACTAAATTCTAATAAATTAAGTGAACTTCACTGGAGCGCTGAAAAGACATACACGCATTATCCCTTCGCCCAGCCATTGGATTCCGTCCTTGGGCCAATGGGTGGACCTTACAAAGTGGTGACAGGCCCTCCGTGATCTCCAGATTGCGAGTGTCTTTTCAGCAAAATATTGGAACTTGCAACTAGTAAGAGGTTTGATCTCCTTCTCTTTCTCCAGCTGTTGTGGTAAGTCAATTCTTTTTGCCTTTTAGAAGTGTTGAGGGAACATGCAGACGCACCTCATATAGACACATTTGTAGAATGGGTCGGCATACCCAGTTAGACCGGAGAACGCAAAATCCGGTGGGGCTTGAGAATTAATGAAACCACATGCTAGGGACATGATAGCAGCAGCGTAGATGAGAAATGATATCCCTTGCTTTAACTTTAAATAACCCTTGTTTGCCCACGCAACAAGAGATGAAACCAAAATTGGAATAATTTCATTCAAATTTTATCCTGGTACTCAACAGAGGGATGTAAACTAAAAACTTAAAAATCTGAGGGTAAATATGTAATTTGATTATTTTGTGTGCTGCAACAAGATTGCAACATTGAAGTAAGAAAATGATCATGCTGACTTGTGAAAAGGTCTTGTGATTTGATGATCTAAAACTGTAACAAGTAAAAATATCTCACTTGAATCATTTGTATGCAAAATGTAAAGTTGGACTAAACAGTGCAATGAAATTTGAATATTTCAAAAGAAATGATCTGGGAAAATGACCTCTCAGTCCTAGAGAACAGCTGCCATACAGAAGTCCTAGTGACTGAAATTCAGAAGAATATGCAAACTGTTAAAACTAATGCATATAATGATTAGTGTGTCACTAAAAGGCTTGTAGCCAGGCCTGATAGTTTCACCCATGCACAGCTGGTTCTTGTCCCATGAGGGAAGTTAGACAAAGAATGAATTACATCAAATTAATCATTATTCTTTGAAAATTTTACAAGAATGCTAAAAAATGCATGACTGATGTCCCAAAATATGGTTTAAACAACACCATTTAAGGCAAAAAGTCTTATAAAACATAGCTTTTAATTTGATATTAAATCAGACTTTGCAATCGCTGTGCTCTTGTATGTTTTCAGAGGTCTCAAAAGACACTGACAAAAGTAACAAGCCAAAAACAATGGCACCCTCAATCAGACCCCTTTGTCCAACCATTTTTTCATATTCAAATAGATTCTTAATAGAATGCAATTGATAAAATCTCGGCCTAAAACAAGATAAGAATTGTGTCCAATTCTATATTGTATGTACAGAAATTTTTAAAGTGAGCAATGATTTGACCCATGGTTCTCAGTGCTTGCAGTGCATTGAATGTTTACAGTATCAGCTATAGCTTTCCAGCTTAGTTTGTTGCTGTGCACACAATGCTCATAGAAGCACAACTGGAGCTGCAGGGCCAAATGCCTTCTAAAAGATCAGGGAGAAGATAACAAGTCAGTATGGACATTTACTCAGTAGAGACCCCAGAGACCAGCAAATAAAATTAGTTTTGATTTATACAATTTTCTAGAATATAAATTATAGTATGACCAGATATAATATATGTTATACTAATGTCCAGGAATGGCTTTAATCTCTTGATGATTCAGCATTGGTTTAGAAGAAGAAAGGATGTTGAAGAAGAATGAAAAGAATCAGAATGTAGGAAGAGGGAATGTGCATGTAGGGAGTAAGATGGCAGGAACACTACTAGTGTTGAAATGGGGTGAAGAAGGAGACAATGGATGGTTAGAGAAAGGATTGTTAAGAAAGAAAACTGAAAAGAAAAAAATAGTGAGAAAGAACTTCTTAACCTTTTATTTGTGCAAGAATCTTTAATGAGGAAAATTACAATGTCCAGTATGTACCAACTAAAATGATCAACTTGATTGACATGTCTTGAAAGTCCATCCAAAGCCACAGGATAATATCATTTTGATCTAATAGATCTTTAACCCAGTAACAAGGGGAGATACAAGTTTTAATGTTCTCTTGCAACAAAACCACAAACAAAGTGGTGCAAGTGTTAAATTCCTCTCTGGGAACATCAGCTCACATGGGATCTGATCAGGGAATATATGTTACTGGACATGTAAGGAAAGTTGTGTGAAATGTAATCATCAGTCATCTACTGTCCTTATGGACCTCAGAGATCTAAATGGTCAAGAGTTTGAACGGCACCATAAATTCTAAATGCCAAACAAACGAGCACAGCACCACACCTGGTGATCTAATTGCTCTGAACACAGATCTGGCTAGTGTAAATAAACAGCAGCATGTGAAGAGATTTCCCCAGCAGATATGGGTGTCCTACTGCTCACAACACAGCAGAGTACTGTGTGAGTTTAACTGCAATAGCAGTAAGATCTGACCATTAACACTCAGTTTAATTGGCCTTTTCTTTGCAGAAACATGATCATGATCATGATACATGTTGTTGTAAACTAAAACAAATTTTCTTCTAATGGAATAAAATCTTAACAGATCAAAGCCATCAGTAACAACCTTCTGGCTTAGGCCATCAAAGAAATATTGAGATAGTACCATCTATTTGACTGTAGTTTGTGTAAAGGCTCAAGATTAAACTGTGATTTTCTCTCGAGGTCTATTCCCTTACAGGCTGACAACTGACTTTCTTCAGAACCAGATTCCACAAGGGTCTGGTCCTGCCTGCATCAAGCAGGACACACACAACGTGACATGTAGGAGATGGGTGGAGAAACTTCAAGGGGCTGCTCACACCTTATAACACTACGGAAGTAGCTATACTCTATGTGGCCTCCCGGTGTAGCACCGGAACTAAATTATGCAACACAGATTATAATAATATAGACAACACCCATCTCCTATGCATAAACGCACAATACACCCCATGACTATGACAACCTTAGAACATCTCTACCTGGCATAGATCATAGGACTATTCAGGTCAAAATTATTCACATAATGCAAACAATACATCATTCACCTTCATACATATAGGACAAGGGAAATTATTTGAATAATTTCTTTCTAAACATTTTTACAGCAGTACAGTCTTGTCAACTTCCTGTATGTAAACGCTGTGATGTGCTAAGAACATGTGCATGGCTATGGTCACACATCAATTGCTTTAAATTCCACATTTAAAATCTAAGTGAGACCTGTTCATCAATGCAACTGGTCTTTGGACAAAATGTTGATGATCCAGTCGTTAGAGTTGTTGCAAACCAGGAGGGCCCCCTAGTTTCCAACAAATGACTAATGACAATAAAAAATATAAAAACATATCTAAAATGCAGGCATTTCTATTGGTCAACTATACAATTCCCAGCCAGACCTGCACTATTGAGTGTGACTTAGCCTGTACATCAAATGCACAGAGGATGATGTTAAAGGTTAAACTAGAGAGTTCAAATCTCTGTTCCGGTACATTTCATTCTCTAACTGAACATATTAAAACCTTAAGGTTCAATTGATGATTTGCACTTAAACAACTAATGCAGACAATTTTATAATTATGAAATTGTGTAGTTCCATGATTAATTATTTGATTTATTTTAATTATGCATACCGCTGGTAAATATACTAGTTATGTTGACGTTCTGATACACTTCCTTAATTTATCCAGACCCAATCTAAATTCCACAACCACATCACTGTGGTGGTGAAGAATTTGGTGATTAAATGAGACCTGGCCACTAAATATATGATTCTGAAAGAGACCTTATTTACCACTCGCACTTTTGACATGACTGCATCATGTCTTGCTTTTGTGTTCTTGTGTTTAACAACCTTTTCCCCAATTTGACAAGAACTACAAATGCATCATTGTTGAATTATTGCAGGGTCATTCTGATGCTGTTCAAGTGTCTCACACACAGTGGTGCATCGTCAGTGAGATGAACTCCTTCTCCTATGGAGGTCTGACCTGCCCTGCGAACCACACGTTCTGTTTGGAAGTAAAAGAGGACTTTTCAATGGCACAGATAAACATCCTGGGAAGGGTTCCAATGGACACTGATGTTTCTCCCTGGTGAGAGGACACCTTCTATGAACAAAGTACTCAAGCTCTGGTCAATACAATGGACTTGGTGCAAGAAATCATCTTACAGACCGAGTATCATCTGAACCAAGCTCAAGTGGAAGCAAATCTGGCGAGAAAGACTGCAGAAATCCTGTCCAGATCCTCGACCCGGTCAGCGAGGTATGCGTACACCTGGTGGGACTGGACGTTCCGTGGATGCGTCCTCGCCAGTGGAATAATCTTCTTCGTCACACTCTGCCGGTGCTGCTACTTCAGGTGCCTAATCCGCACAATGCGCACGTCGACGAACGTGGCCATCGCGCTCAGCCCTTTAAAGGTACCTGCGCTACAGAAACTGTAACCAGAAGTGGACTTAATAAAATTGTGGCCCCTCAGGAACTGATCTGAATCTGCCCCAAGGGGCCAGGGGTCGAAACTGTAAGGAAGGACTTTCCTAAGACTGAATTTAGGAATTCGAAACTGCAGTAAAACAATAAAAACTTACTAATCTGTAAAAGAGATCAAAGGGACAGAGGGCACCACACAACTGGCCCAACCCGATATCTTCCCCCCCATGTTGTGGTTCTTGACTCTGCACAATATCTTCTCTCCTCCAGGGCTCATTCAGGCATTCAAATCTCACAAACCTCCTGCCCCCAGCTGTGTTATGCAAGGGCAAAATAAATACTTCTGGCGCGAGTGGTAAAATTGTTTAATTCCTGCAGCAGCAGAACAGGCAGAACAAGAAAACAACGCCTGTTCTTCTGTTGTGGGAGATGCCCCAACAAAGATTTGGGTGATAGGTGTTTATTGTTCTTTTGCTTGTGAATCTAAGGTTTTCCCTTTTCATGTTTGGTATCATTTTAAGTGTCTCAGTGCGATTGGTAAAATGGTCTTCATTTCATTACAGTTATTGGAAATAGGAGAAAGATTGAGAACTTAGGAGATTCCAGTTCTCCTCCAAGGGTGATGTCTTTTCAAGATATCTCCCCTCTCCCCCGAGACCAGGTGTTACCCCCTGGGGTATAGGAATGGACCCAAAACAAACTCTGAAAGCGATTGGTACAACCCTTTTGTTCTGGTCTGGGTATTTAAGGCTAGGTAACAGAGCAGTCTTCGGGAACCTGTAACCAGGAAAACCCCCATACAGTGCTGTGTCAGTGTTTTCCCGGTGGAAAGCACTCACACACTACTGTGTGTCTCTGTCAGGAATGCATTGCTTACTTTTAGAATCATCTTTGAGTAATTGATGTCATGTATTTACTATTTCTGAATTGGCTGTTAATTGCTTGGGTAATTGGCATGATACATTTTTCCTGACAAATAAATGTTACATCTTGATTTACTCTGGAGTATTCTGACGTCATTATTTTAGTAAATTATAGGAGGCTGGTGCTACCGCAAATCTTGCAGGATAGGTCAAACTAAAGGCACAGATGTGAATGGAGCAGTAGGCACGTCCTTCTGAAGACCTTTTGATTTCTGTCTATCACTGATTTAGCAAGTTGTATGGAAGTTGCTAAAATAAACTACATTCTATGTACGTGTGAGCAGTAGGCAACCGACTTAAGAAGTATTAGTTAACCCTGCACCCTCTGACTAAATACAGAACTGACAAGGTTTGTGTCCGTGAGAAACACGATCTGGCCACCGTGATCTCTGTGCGGCATCGGGTCCATAATGAACGAATAATTGAAAGTGTAAGAAACACAGACATATCAAAGATCTAAATTAAATCCTAATCAATAGTTATGGTTATTTTCTAATAAGAAACACAATCTAAACTTGATCATCAGTAAAAATTGGAGTCAGATTAAGCGTAGAGCTAAAGCAATATTGAAACTAAATTCTAATAAATTAAGTGAACTTCACTGGAGCGCTGAAAAGACATACACGCATTATCCCTTCGCCCAGCCATTGGATTCCGTCCTTGGGCCAATGGGTGGACCTTACATCATCATAACTACCAAAAATGTATTCAATTTCAGGATTTTAACCCTTTAATTACCAGTTTTGTTTGCGAAACCATCGATTTGTATAAGAGGAAAAAACACAAAAATTCAATTATTTTCAATAAACTAAATGCAAAGAGAAAACTTTAGATTTGGATTATCACAGTCCCACTTTGCAAAAAATCCCACTTAGCGCGTTAGAGACCAAAAATGGCCACCTATTAAACATTGCCTATTGCCTAAAATAAGGTGCATTTCCACCCATAGGGAATAAATTTGTAGTGACGTCATCTGGTGGAATACACTATATAATGCAAATATAATGCTTTTGCTTCAAAATGAAAGGATGTTTGTGCAAAAATCATGTTTCATGTATTACTGACAGCCTCAGATTTAAACAACGTTTTAATGGGTTTCAATGGGCCATTTTTGGTCTTTATGGTGCTGAGTGTTACTATTTGATCTACACAGTGTGTGTTATACATATTTTGCAAAATGGGATCACATTTTTTACATGTATCCAAAAAGTCACAATTTTGCCAAATTTCATACCATTTGCATTAAAACAGCCAAAATGGTCAAAGAAATTAAACTGCAAAAGACCAAAAATGTCCCTAATGCAGCATAAGGGTTAAACTACAGATCCGATCCCCTTTAATCGCTCTCAGTGCCGCGTTTACAGACGATGCTAATAAAAATGCTAACTCATTCTGCTGAGTTTCCTTTGTGTTTTTTGCATGATGTTCTGGAAATGAACCCCTGCACACACACACACTGATGTAATCTTAATGACAAGGCAACAGAGTAATTAAGATAAACTACAGTTAAGAATATAACATTTATAAAACATTCTATTCTACACACTGATCATCAGATCCTCAAGGGCATCCGAGATGTAGGTGTCTTTGTTTCCACAGTATTTTCAATTTTGTCATTTTTCAGTCAAACCGTTGTTGTCTATCAGTCATACACTGGAGGCTAAGGGGGTCCACCAAAGAGCAGCACAGAGAAGTCCAAATTAAACATGATTTAATGACTCGTAAATGTAAGTACACATCGATGTCCTAAGACACGAAACGAGCGGTTTGTGTGCGAAAACCAACAGTGTTTATATCGTTTTTACCTCTTGTAATCACAGCCATGACAAAATGATCTGACGGCACGGGCGCTTCGGTCTGGAAGTGATCGACGTCACTCTTTGTTTATACAGAGATTTCGGAAGTTTTGCCTTTCACTAAACATATTTAGATATACGGGAAACCGCAATGGAAGACGATTTCGGGATATCTAAATATGTTTAGTAAAAGGTAAAACTTCCGAAATCGAAGCGATCACTTCCGGCGTAACATTGAACTGATTCAGTTCGGTTCAGTTGGACATTGAACAACTGATTCAGATCACTTGGGGTAAAAACGATATAAATACTGTTAGTTTTCTCACACAAACCGCTCGTTTCGTGTCTTAGGCCATCAGTGTGTACTTACATTTACGAGTCATTAAATCATGTTTAATTTGGACTTCTCTGTGCTGCTCTTTGGTGGACCCCCTTAGCCTCCAGTGTATGACTGATAGACAACAACGGTTTGAGCGAAAAATGTCAAAATTGAAAATACTGCAGAAACAAAGACACCTACATCTTGGATGCCCTTGAGGTAAGATAAAACATATCAAAAATTAATTTCAAAGTGAACTATCCCTTTAATACTGAAGTGAAGCACGGCGGAAGTGAGGAGCGCGTCTCACCTGGAAGTGGTTCCTGAAGCGTTTGCTGGCGGCGTACAGAGCCGCGGGGTTGATGCATGAGTTCACCGACGCCATGTTGAGGCCGATGTAGTCCAGAACAAGGAAAGCGCTAAAACAACATCACAGCGTCAAAATAGATCATCACATTCACAACAAACGCAAAGTGAGCGTTCACTGAAAGTCTACGGTCCCAAACACAGGATTTTAAAGGTGACACATTTGACACCAGATGTATTATAGCGTCTCCAGGATGTGTGTGTGAAATTTCAGCTCAAAATCCCAGATCATTTATTAAAGCTTGACAAATTTGGCCCTTTTTGTGTGTGTCCCTTTAAATGCAAATGAGTTTTAGCTCCGCCTCCATTGAGAAGAGGGCGGAGCCTTCACACAGGCGGATCTGACTGATCCAGGATCAGGAGTAACGGAGAGACTCGGGGAGAGCTGCACTTGTACACGTTTCTGAATGTTAGCGGAGATGTTTGTGTAGTTGTTGTGGAGAAACACTGATCATCTCATCATCATGTTCAACTCTTCCACAAGTGTTTATAAGACAGCGCTGGTCACATGTAGTGTTCAGTGTGTGTGTGTGTGTGTGTTACCTCAGTAAGCTGCATCTGTCGGGGTCGTGCTCATCATAGATGGTCATCTTGAGGATCCGGCTGAGGTGAAGTGGGAACCAGCAGACGGCGAACACCAGAACCAGACAGAAGACGGTCCGGGCCGCCTCGCGCCTCTGCCCCAACACACACACACACACACACACACACATCAAAATAAACATAGGACATTTTGAAAAGAATAATAAAAATGACAAAAGTGCCTTTTAAAGACCTGTTCTCAAGTCCTGCACAAACAATTAAATGTTTATGGTAACATCTTAAACTGTACAAATCATGATTTACAGTAAAACAGCTTTAGTTCAAAAATAAAACTTTTATAAAATGATAAACCTCACATTTCAAGCCTTTAAACCATTTTTTAAGAAAAGCAATGAGTCAAAATTATAAATCATTATATTTATATTATTATATGTAAAATATGTGATATGATATGTTTCGATTTTGCTTCTGTCTGATCCACGGCTCACAGTGTGAAGCGCTGAAGGAACTTATAAAACTCTTCATCTCTACAGCACTTTAGAGTTTCACAGCAGCTTTACGGTGAGAACAGGAGATTACAGTAACAGAGAGTGTTTGGGCTTTACAGCAGATCTAGAATACAGTTATTTCGAAACACAGACCTGCTTCATGTGTGTGTCCAGAACGCTTCGGCTGAAGATCCTGCGGGTCATCAGGGAGTAGAAGACGGAGGTGCACGCCAGCGGGACCAGGAAGTAGAACCCCAACAGCCACCAGTCTTTGGACACTTTATAAAACTAGAACAACACAACACAGAGTTACTGATGAACTGAAGCAGGCCATTATCATGTTTATGAGGGAACGATCAACAGCTCCTCACATTCATATTACTCACCCTCTGATAAAATTTAATAGAATTAACAGAGTTTTTTACTTCATTGGAATGGTACGAAACTTGGTAAAGGTTTTGCACATGCTTTGTGAACACACAAATAAATCATGGCCATGATGTGAACAGGTTTAATGGTCCTGAAACAATAGTACCATTTGTGCTGCTCGCGGTCAGAAACGAGCGCATTGGAAATGAATGAGAGTTTCCTCTAGTGGAAGTGTGTGGAACTGCAGCCCAACACACACACACACACACACTCTGAACGCTCGTTTACTGAGAGATCAGACTCATGTGCAGAACACACACTGGTGGACATTTATGGCCTTAATCTTTTTTCATATATAAAAATTTGAAATTGTATTTTTGTGCATTTTTAATAACAATAAAAGTAAAATTCTGTAACTTTTTAAAGTTAACTTAAGTTTTTTTACTTCAGCAATAATCTGCCAAGTTTTGTCTATGAAAATAGAAACTTAAGTCTGTATTCTAAAGAATTCAAGATTTACGACAATTTAAATTGGAAATTGATTTTATAAATACAGATTAAATATAATTTAGTATTAAAAAAAATCACATAAAAATACACGGAGGGTGTGTCTCTGCATGAAGGATGAGGAGGACTGTAGAGGATGAAGGTGGGTGTGTCTCAGTGTACCTGCATGAAGGATGAGGACTGTAGAGGATGAAGGAGACAGATCCGCAGACGCTGGCCTCTGTAATCCATCTCCATCAGGTCGAACGCCACGGCCTCGGGAACGGCCAGGAGAGTCGAGATCGTCCATATTAAACACACCTGGACTGCGATCCACCTGGGAAAACCCGGAGCTTTGGTCCGAGTCCTGGATGAGACGATCCGGTACCTTCAGAACGACACGCTTCTACATTAGTGGCCAGATTACACCAAATAAGTGTCTGTGATCAGACAAATAATCCCTGCAGCTCCTTCATGTTCTTGATCAAATTCTTTATAATTTTCTTTTTTATGCATTGCTTTAAAAAAAATATATGTTTTCTGATATGAGATACAAAATAATCCAAGTTAGGTCAAAAGTAATAAAAAATGGTGTAATTGATAGATTGCATTACTAATTACATTTTTTGTGATGAATTCTACTGTTCAAAAGTATTTTTATCTGAAATGAATACTTTTATTCATCAAAGAAGCATGAAATTGGTCAAAAGTGATATTAAAAACATTTATAATGTTACAAAAGATACTATTTCTTTTCAACTCTATTCATCAGGGAATCCTGAAAAAATAAAATGCATGACAATTTTATTTTCAACACTGATAATAATCATAACTGTGTGTTGATCATCACATCCTCATATTAGAGTGATTTGTGAATGATCATGTGACACTGAAGACTGGAGTAATGATGCTAAATTCAGCTTTGATGATTATATTGATAAAATACACTTTACTATTCACAAACAGCTGATTTACACTGGAGAAGTATTTAAAAAATTACTGTATTTTTGATCAATTAAGTGAAGCCTTTGTGAGCAGAAGAGACTCTTCAAGAAACATTTACAAATCTTACCGACCCAAACAGTAATGAAATCTGTAATAATTGACAGACTAAAATTTGTAAGTAACTCGTTTAAATAGAAAACATGTTTTAGACACTTCGTCCAGCTCTTCTAGGGGGACAAAGAGGCGTTCCCAGCGTGTCCTAGGTCTTCCCCGGGGAGGCGTCCAGGAGGCATCCGGATCAGATGCCCGAGCCCCCTCAGCTGACCCCTCTCGATGTGGAGGAGCAGCGGCTCTACTCTGAGCTCCTCCCGAGTGACCGAGCTCCTCACCCTATCTCTAAGGGATCGTCCAGCCACCCTGCGGAGAAAGCTCATTTCGGCCGCCTGTATCCGAGATCTTGTCCTTTCGGTCATGACCCAAAGCTCATGACCATAGGTGAGAGTAGATATACCAGTAGAGAACATAGATTGACCAGTAAATCAAGAGCTTTGCCTTACGGCTCATCTCCTTCTTCACCACGACAGACCGGTACATCGACCGCATTACTGCAGAAGCTGCACCGATCCGTCTGTCAATCTCCCGTTCCATCTTCCCTCACTCGGGAACAAAACCCCAAGATACTTAAACTCCTCCACTTGAGGAAGGATCTCTCCACCAACCTGAAGTGGGCAAGCCACCCTTTTCCGACTGAGAAACTGCCACCTTACCGTGGTGGAGGCGTTTGAGTACCTGGATGACCCTATGAGCTATGTTGTCTGGGGCTGTATCCCCCTGGTAGGGTCTCCCAAGGCAAAAAGGTCCTTGGTGACGGGTCAGACTAAGAGCGGTTAAAAACCCTGGAGCCAGGCCCGAGGATGGGGCTCGTATGCGAGCGGCTGGGGGCCGGGCCTCTCCCCATGGGGTCCGAGGAGCAACGCGGGGTCGCCTTCCCGTGGGCTCACCACCTGCAGGAGGGACCGTAAGGGGCCGGTGCTTAGTGGATCGGGCGGCAGTCGAAGGCGGGGGCCTCGACAACCCGATTCCTGGACACGGAAACTAGCTCTAGGGATGTAAAATTCAATATGAAACATTAAAGAAGCACTGATGTAAAAGACTCACCGGTCGATACTCAGAGCGCAGAGACTCAGGACTGTGATTCCCACCGAGGCTTTCTGGATAAACGGCAGGAGTTTGCAGATCAGGACACCGAACGGCCAATCCTCCGCCAGGAGCTGCAGAAAGGTACAGTAGAGTTAGAGTACAGTAGAGCTAGAGTACAGTAAAGGTAGAGTACAGTAGTGTAGAGTACAGTAGAGGTAGAGTACAGTATAGGTACAGTAGAGTTAGAGTACAGTAGAGCTAGAGTACAGTAAAGGTAGAGTACAGTAGTGTAGAGTACAGTAGAGACACTACAGTAGAGGTAGAGTACAGTAGGGTACAGAAGAAGTACAGTATAGGTACAGTAGAGTACACTTCAGTAGAGGTAGAGTACAGTAGTGTAGAGTACAGTAGAGACACTTCAGTAGAGGTAGAGTACAGTATAGGTACAGTAGAGTACAGTAGAGGTAGAGTACAGTAGTGTAGAGTACAGTAGAGACACTTCAGTATAGGTACAGTAGAGGGCGCCACTCAAACAAACATTTCAGCTGCTGCTGTTCTGGGTAAAAGAACAATAAGATGCAAGAGAAAAAAGTTTAACACTTACTTTACCACTAAAAACAAAAAAATCTATAGTTATTTTTGTTTCTGATTTAATTGAATCATCGAAGGTCAGAAGCAAGTACATTGGTCAATAAAGTGGCATTAAATGCATAAAAATGTATTTTGGTGCTTTTATTCATTTTGAGGAATATTGAATCCTTTTTTTGTGCATATAAATGCTTACATTTAGTCTAGAACTACAATAACCATCATGTTTTCTCACACACACACACACACACGGCTCTGTGCTTCAATTTGTCTCAACATTGGGACAGGAGAGCTGTCTGTTAATAGATGACAATTTTAAAAGTAATGCGTTACTTTAGTTGCTTGAAAGAGTAATCTGATTCCGTAACTCAAGTTACTTGTAATGAGTTACCCCAACATTGGGTACCTTATAAACATTGATGGGAATCGTGATGACGATGTGCAGGAGATCTCCCAGAGCCAGACTGCTGATGAGAATATTGGGTCCAGTTCTCATGCTTTTGTGTTCTGTGATGATCCTCAGAAGAGTCACGTTTCCCAGCATTCCGAGCAGCAGCACCAGAACCGAGACCACACTGTTGATGTACTTGAAGGCGTCTCTGATCCGCACCGGTGCCGAGCACATCCGGGTCCTGTTCCTGGTGCTGTCCGGGGAGTTCCAATGGGTTCTGTTCCCGGTGCTGTCAGGGGAGTTCCTCCGGGTTCTGTTCCTGGAGCTGTCTGAGGAGTTCCACTGGGTTCTGTTCCCGGTGCTTTCAGGGGAGTTCCACCAGGTTCTGTTCCAGGTACTGTCCAGGGAGTTCCACCAGGTTCTGTCCAGGGAGTTCCACCAGGTTCTGTTCCGGTGCTTTCAGGGGAGTTCCACCAGGTTCTGTTCCCGGTGCTTTCAGGGGAGTTCCACCAGGTTCTGTTCCAGGTACTGTCCAGGGAGTTCCACCAGGTTCTGTCCAGGGAGTTCCACCAGGTTCTGTTCCCGGTGCTTTCAGGGGAGTTCCACCAGGTTCTGTTCCCGGTGCTGTCCAGGGAGTTCCACCAGGTTCTGTTCCAGGTACGGTCCAGGGAGTTCCACCAGGTTCTGTTCCAGGTACTGTCCAGGGAGTTCCACCAGGTTCTGTTCCAGGTACTGTCCAGGGAGTTCCACCAGGTTCTGTTCTCGGTGCTTTCAGGGGAGTTCCACCAGGTTCTGTTCCCGGTGCTTTCAGGGGAGTTCCACCAGGTTCTGTTCCAGGTACTGTCCAGGGAGTTCCACCAGGTTCTGTTCCCGGTGCTTTCAGGGGAGTTCCACCAGGTTCTGTTCCAGGTACTGTCCAGGGAGTTCCACCAGGTTCTGTTCCAGGTGCTGTCCAGGGAGTTCCACCAGGTTCTGTTCCCGGTGCTTTCAGGGGAGTTCCACCAGGTTCTGTTCCAGGTACGGTCCAGGGAGTTCCACCAGGTTCTGTTCTCGGTGCTTTCAGGGGAGTTCCACCAGGTGCTGTTCCCGGTGCTTTCAGGGGAGTTCCACCAGGTTCTGTTCCAGGTACTGTCCAGGGAGTTCCACCAGGTTCTGTTCTCGGTGCTTTCAGGGGAGTTCCACCAGGTTCTGTTCCAGGTACTGTCCAGGGAGTTCCACCAGGTTCTGTTCTCGGTGCTTTCAGGGGAGTTCCACCAGGTTCTGTTCCAGGTACTGACCAGGGAGTTCCACCAGGTTCTGTTCCCGGTGCTTTCAGGGGAGTTCCACCAGGTTCTGTTCCAGGTACTGTCCAGGGAGTTCCACCAGGTTCTGTTCTCGGTGCTTTCAGGGGAGTTCCACCAGGTTCTGTTCCAGGTACTGTCCAGGGAGTTCCACCAGGTTCTGTTCTCGGTGCTTTCAGGGGAGTTCCACCAGGTTCTGTTCCAGGTACTGTCCAGGGAGTTCCACCAGGTTCTGTTCTCGGTGCTTTCAGGGGAGTTCCACCAGGTTCTGTTCCCGGTGCCGTCCAGGGAGTTCCACGAGGTGTTCTTTACTCCCGGATCTGCAGTCTGAGCACTAATGAACCCGGCAGAACCATAAACACACAGCAATAACAGCACCGTGACGGAGACCAACATGTCAAAGACTCTGAGAGAAATCCGGCTCTAATCGGGTCTCATGCTGAAGAATAATGTTTGAGATGCTTGTTCCCTGCAGCTCTTGAGTCTCGTAGGTGAAGGTGTATGTTTATATACACGAGTGTGTGTGTGTGTGTGTGTGTGTGTGTTTATATACGCGAGTCTTTGACAGCGGCTCAATAAATCATGTGTTTTGGCCCGATCTCAGACTCAGTGTGTCATTCAAACGCCTGCGGGTCGAGACACTGTTTCCAGTGTGATCTTGCGTCCATGAAGCCGTATATGCAACGCTTTCACAGGATTCACACACACACGCACACACACACACTCACACACACACACACACACACACACACACACACACACACACACTCACAGTCAGTGCTGCTCATTCCTCCTGGTGTGTCCAGATGTTCACGGGCTTTACTAAACACTGAGTGATTAAACAGCTGTGAATTTGTTGAACACAAACACACCATCCATCCGTTCAGAAAATGATAATAATATAATGATAACAAATACTATAGAATTCGTAGACAATAGTAAAAGTTTTTGGGGCAGACCTGACCTGTTGAACAGAGATGGTATTCATTCCTCCTGGGCTGGTGCTGCTCTTCTCTCGAGTCTTAGAGCTCAAACGTGACGATCTGAGGCTCAGGTCAGGACTGGCTAAACCCACCGTCTGCTAGCGGCCTCGCGTCACCAAGGTCAGATACATCCCATCACATAGAGACTCTTTCACCTAGATATCATATAGAGACTGTTTCTGTTCTCAGAATCAGGACATACAAAAAACTTCCAAACCCATCTCAGGGTAAACATTTAATCGATATTCAACAAATAAAAATCAAATATGATACAAATGAGCAAATGATAACTTTATTTAGCCAAGGCTGCAAAGCAGGCTCAGTGTTACAAACATGTTAGACCTATCATTTCTGCCACTAAAGATTGCTTTATCAATAATGATCAGTTTTATCATCTCAGCATCCCGGATAGCTTACACGGGAAAAAATGATATGCTTTATCTAATCAATAAAATTGTGGCAACATATTACAAGCAATATTATTAATTAAATTGTACAAATTAGAATTAATTAGAATGTTAATTTGAATAACTTTTACTCAATTCTAATTTGTTCAATTTAATAAATAATATTGCTTGTAATCTGTTGCCACAATTTTATTGATTAGATAAAGCATATTCATTTTTACAGTGTAGAAGAACTCGACATTGCTACTTTTAACTTTAAGTTAACTCTCTCTTTTCCAGACGCAGTTGCTCCGTTGCGCTTAAAGAAGATTAAAGAAAATAGTCCAACTCCGTGGTACGACGAGCACACACACACACACACACCCTTACGAGAGCAGCCAGAAGCATGGAGTGTATCTGGAAGAAAACTAAACTAGAGGTATTTCGCATTTCATGGAAGGAGAGCTCGATTGCTTACAGACAGGCCTTAAAACGGCTAGGTCTGCTTATTTATCAACCCTTTTAGAAGAAAATAATTAAACCAAGGCGAGTCGAATGTGCACATATATAGGCCTCACTCAATAGCTGATTGGGTAGACATGTTGATGTGTTCGTTAATAAAACACATCTCTGTTGTTTCCCTCCTCCTGCAGACGCGAGCACATCTCTGGAGTGTGTTGTCTTCTGATCCGTTTGATGTGTTTGTCTGGAGCTCTTGACTCACTGGTGTACCGTGGCGAAGGGGTTTGATGACAGGGTCATCGCCATGGCAACCAGCACAACGCAGACAGAGCGGGAAAGGCTGATGACATCATCAGTCATTATCCCGAAAACACTCACTGAGCTTCTGCTTCTGTGGTGTTTAGTTGTCACCCGAGGGTGTTTCGGCACACCTGCAGGCACAGCTGGCTGAACCCAGAACAGTCACAGATGTTTCTTACCTGTATTGAGCATTATTCATCATTTAAACATCTTTGCTCATGGAAGCATTATTTTGAGTCGTAAATGTCATCTTTCCACTGTAATAGACTGTACTTCATCCTGATGGACTGACTTCAGCATGAAGCACATTTTCAATGTAAGATTTGATATTTTCTATGTCAAATATGAGTTATTAATTCCATAAATCAGCTTCAGGTCTCATGACGCTTCTCCTGCAGGGCTGACGACACTGGAGTAACGGAAACATCCCATAATGCAATGATAAAAATGAAGATGTATGTCGGCCCTAAAACCCCATTTTAAAAGCGTGTAGAGCTAGTTTTTATAAATTCTTCAGTGTTTAATGCTCCTGGACCGGGTCTCATTTACTAACCTTCAGTTCTGTAGAAGATAATAAATCACACACACGTCAGGACAAGTGTGTATAAACCTGCAGCTTTAGTTCAGGAGCTCTCACAATCACCCCGACAGAACAGCGCATATCAAATATTACATCAAACTCTAATTAGAAAAAACTCAGAGAGAGAGAGAGAGAGAGAGAGAGAGAGAGAGAGAGAGAGGATATTATAATACAGAAATAATAAATCTCCTTCTTTATGCTCTTATCAGTCTAGATCTCCTCTTTCATCCCTAAAACTCAAGTTTGCTTGAGGAAACGGCTCCACACACACACACACACACACACACAGCGGCCCCTGCTGGACAACGGTGCCGTTCATCGAGTCGCTCCTCCATCAGCACAGACACATAATTCATAATTCCCATCTTCCAATAATTTAAATCTGTACAAACTGATTTAGTATGAATGTCACGCACACACACACACACACACACACACACACACACACACACGCTCAGTGTCTTTAAGCGCTGGAACGGGTCAAACACAGTCTGTGGTGATCAACAGTGGTTTGTCTCCAACATCTCTGGAAGATTCAGGATCTCCGGCTACTTCACCGACAGCAGGAGGCTGATCTGAGGACGACAACACACACTCGTCATTACCACACACACACTCGTCATTATCACACACACACTCATCATTACCATCATACACTCGTCATTACCACACACACACTCATCGTTATCACACACACACTCATCATTACCATCATACACTCGTCATTACCACACACACCCTCGTCATCATTATCACACACACACTCATCATTATCACACACACTCTTCATTATTATCACACACACACACACACTCATCATTACCACACACACACTCGTCATTATCACACACTCATCATCACACACACACACTCATCATTACCATCATACACTCATCATTACCATCACACACTCATCATCAAACACACTCATCATTATTATCACACACTCATCACTACCATCACACACTCATCACACACACACTCACACTCATCATTACCACACACACACTCGTCATTATCACACACTCATCATCATCACACACACACACACACACACACACTCGTCATTATCACACACTCATCATCACACACTCATCATCACACACACACACACACACTCGTCATTATCACACACTCATCATCACACACTCATCATCACACACTCATCACACACACACACACACACTCATCATTACCACACACACACTCGTCATTATCACACACTCATCATCACACACACACACACTCATCATTACCATCATACACTCGTCATTACCACACACACACTCATCGTTATCACACACACACTCATCATTACCATCATACACTCGTCATTACCATCACACACACTCATCGTTATCACACACACACTCATCATTACCATCATACACTCGTCATTACCACACACACCCTCGTCATCATTATCACACACACTCATCATTATCACACACACTCTTCATTATTATCACACACACACACACACACTCATCATTACCACACACACACTCGTCATTATCACACACTCATCATCACACACACACACTCATCATTACCATCATACACTCATCATTACCATCACACACACTCATCATCAAACACACACTCATCATTATTATCACACACTCATCACTACCATCACACACTCATCACACACACACTCACACTCATCATTACCACACACACACTCGTCATTATCACACACTCATCATCATCACACACACACACACACACACACACACACACTCATCATTACCACACACACACTCGTCATTATCACACACTCATCATCACACACACACTCATCATTACCATCATACACTCGTCATTACCACACACACACTCATCGCTATCACACACACTCATCATTACCATCATACACTCGTCATTACCATCACACACTCATCATCAAACACACACTCATCATTATTATCACACACTCATCATTATTATCACACACTCATCATCATCACACACACACACACACACACACACACTCATCATTACCACACACACACTCGTCATTATCACACACTCATCATCACACACACACTCATCATTACCATCATACACTCGTCATTACCACACACACACTCATCGCTATCACACACACTCATCATTACCATCATACACTCGTCATTACCATCACACACTCATCATCAAACACACACTCATCATTATTATCACACACTCATCATTATTATCACACACTCATCATTACCATCATACACTCGTCACTACCATCACACACTCATCACACACACACTCACACTCATCATTATCATCACACACTCATCACACACACACTCATCATTATCATCACACACTCATCATTATTATCACACGCACAGAGTGACATCTGTTGTTGTAGCTATTTAAGTTCATTTATTCGGTTTCATATTTGTTTTACAATTTTCAGATATTATTTGTTCGTTTTGTTTAAATTTAATCGGTTAAGAAAGAAAATATCAAAAAATGTGATCCGTCATAAAGGGTGTGGAAATGGATTGAATTCAATATGGCGGGAGACGTTTTTTGTCCACTCAAGTTTTTTCGTTTTGTATAATTTGTTCCTTAATTTCAATCGATGTTTTGTAAATTAATCAATTATCTGGATTTAAATAAGAAGAAAACAAACAACACCCGGTGTGCGCAACACAGCACGAGTCCACTGCCGTGCCCCGCGGGTGTATAAACTGCTTCGGTGTATGAATATGATATTATACTGTAATATTTGCACCTGCTCCATGGAGGGACAGGCGATGATCTGCAGGTCTTCTCCACTGAACTCCTCCTGCAGGAACACATGCAGCCTCTGGAAAACCTGCTGCACGTTATTCTGGAACAGAGGGAACAGTCTCCATGTTATCCTGCGTCACATGACCTGCGCTTGGCCCCGCCTCCAAACCCCACTGTCCTGCCCTTGGCCCCGCCTCCAAACCCCACTGACCTGCCCTTGGCCCCGCCTCCAAACCCCACTGTCCTGCCCTTGGCCCCGCCTCCAAACCCCACTGTCCTGCCCTTGGCCCCGCCCCCAAACCCCACTGTCCTGCCCTTGGCCCCGCCCCCAAACCCCACTGTCCTGCCCTTGGCCCCGCCTCCAAACCCCACTGACCTGCCCTTGGCCCCGCCTCCAAACCCCACTGTCCTGCCCTTGGCCCCGCCTCCAAACCCCACTGTCCTGCCCTTGGCCCCGCCTCCAAACCCCACTGTCCTGCCCTTGGCCCCGCCTCCAAACCCCACTGTCCTGCTCTTGGCCTCGCCCCCAAACCCCACTGTCCTGCGCTTGGCCCCGCCCCCAAACCCCACTGTCCTGCCCTTGGCCCCGCCTCCAAACCCCACTGATCTGACTT